CCCCCCGGAAGAGAGAGAGAGAGAGAGAGAGAGAGGGAGCGAGACATTTGTATATTGTGCGCAGCATTTTTCCCGTGCTTCTTTCAATACAAGTAAATCCTCGCCGAGGTTTACATTTCTCGGTATTCTTTTATTCTCGAAAAAGCGTAAGTTGAATTTTCACTGCTAAGTTGTGCGCCTCGCGCGAGACAAACGAGCGTAGCGCAAAAGTAATCGGGCTATCGCGGTGAAACTACAGAGCTCGTTCTGTTCGTAACTATAATATATAAAGCGAAACGTACTTTCATTACGTTGCGTAACTTATTCGCAGCCTACGAGAGGATCTAATCGATCGTTTTCTAACTTACTTCGCGCGTCAAATCATAACGCCGTGACAGCTGCTGCCAAATTGACCACGAATATTGACTGCTCGCGAATCCTCGACGCGGAATCCATCTCTAAAACGATTTCTAAGTCTAAGCGACTAACGTCATAACGTATCTTAAAGTCCTCAGCGCGTTCTTCTCTACGAAATAATCCCCGTGACAATTCTATCTACATCGAACGTAAATATTCATCCAGCTGATTATCCCAAATTCGCAGAGTGAGACATATCCTTTTTCGGTTTCTCACATATGTTTCTATAAATATTTGCGCATTACTTTCTACATCAAAGTTGATTTGACGCAACGAAAATATTCCGGAACGTCCAAGCCCGTTAATTATTCTAAAAAGCTACGTGTAATTCGGGAAATGTTTCCGAAATAAAATTACGTTGCTACCTGTGTAACTTGGCACTCAAACATTCAAATGAATCTTCCGGATAAAATTTCCCGTAAATATATACGTAAAACTATCTATCGTTCTATACAAAAACCTTACGCTAATCTTTCTCGAAGTATTACGTACAGTATATCGGCTATACTTTTTCCTTGTAGTAACATATTATCCCTATGTGTATATATGTATATAATACATACATCTATAAACCATTGACTTTACATGTCATCACAATATTTTGTTTACGCTACGGTCAGAAAAATTTGTGTCGACTCTATAAAGTGGTGTAAAATGGATTATTCGGGAAAACGCAATTATATTCTCATGATAAAATCAAACGAGTGTGATCTTCTTTTTTATCCGGAGTGATATTTATACAGTCCGTGCATGATTGACTCAATAAACATGATCGGAATCTCTGGAAAGCATTGCGTAGGATGTAGATAAAAGCAATAACTGTCAATTCGAATTTTATGGATAAGTAGGAGGAAGATTACACGTTTTTTATACTTGGCAGTTACTGTCTTTTAGCTTATCACGGCAATACAATAGAGAAGATTACAGATCGCAATCGCCGGCCGTTCAACGAAAGTCACAAAGAACGCAGGTATACGAAAAGGAATACCGTCGTCCCGTTGATTGTCTATCTTAACTTTCCTCAAATGGAAACCATGTATAATGCACGTACAGTGTGTGTTCTATAAAAATATTATATGTGAACGTAAATAAAACCTCACTTTTTCTCCGTATACCGCAGCCAATAATAAGCGGAGCTTTCGATGGAGAACCTTGCTTTACGACATAGTCACAGGACAATTATATAAGAGGCTATCTAAATGTGTTACATCCTAATTATCAGCTAATCACTTTCTCGTATCCTAAGCTTAGAGCTAATTTTCCTTAATCGATAATTTATTGTCCAATCTCATGGAACATTTCCTAACTCTATTTATTGTCTGCTCACACAGTATTGTCGGTTATGTAAGTAGTATATTATCCATTTTTACAACTAAACTGTTGTCTGGATACTAAGGAAGACCGTTATTGTCCAAAGTTATTTTTTTCTTATTGTCTGTAAATCCCTGTCCCATTCTTAGATGTTTCAATGTCTCGTAAAGTAACAGATTCCTTTCTGAAATAAGAAAACGTTTGAAAACAAATCTATGACCACTGCTTCCTCGTCACGTCCTTTTTTCGCGCGAAATAAGCTGCGTCATATCAAATATAGGACTCAATAACGCACAACTGCTTAGTCAAAACTGCGAGCAACGTTACTCCTTCTTCGTTCGTCTGAAACATGTTTTTTTCGAAATTCCACGAGGAATCGACGGAAAGCTCTCAGAATACGACTGTGGTGAATCAATTAGTCAATAAGCTGAATACCGAGTTGTCACCCTGGCCAACAATACTGCTCTACTCGTCTTACCGCTTAGAAAAAGTCTAAGTCAATTAGTAAGGCTTCTAGATTCCGTAAACGATATATCTCGTATATAAAGTATACCCACTGAAAAACGATTCTCCTAATAGAGTGCGGATCAAAAAAGTGCTGGTGCAGAGTATTGTCCCTAGAATTCAGTCAACGTGTTCCTTACGTCTATGCTGAGTAACGATAAGGCGCTATGGACTATAAGCATCTACCGTTTTCTCTACAATACTGTAGTATCACTATATACGTATAACAGAGTATATATATATTCGTACGTAGCTCGGTTGGGATACAAACAGGCTGAGCAACTCTCTTGTCAATTTCTCATCGGAATCAAGTCGAGAGACGAAACGTTAAAAAGTTAACGATGGCGCGATAGGATCTTAACCGACGAGAGAACATCGACGCCGAATTAACTTTTCACAAAAGTGGCAAATTGTTGGTTTCCTCCTCGTTCGCTCAGCCTAAGCACCTCAGGGAGTTCTCGCATACCCTTCGACGCGGCAGATGCTGAAGTCAAACTGCACTCGCAGTGCTCGCCGCTACTCGTCGTGGCATTTCTCTTCTTTTTTTCGAAAGAGATTTCAAAACAGTCGTCCCTGCAAAACGAGCTCCATCTCGTTTAAAACCCACCCTTCAGCGTTTATCACATCCGCATGAGAGGCACAGCATGCGATAACTCCCTACGACGCGCTAGAATTTTTTCGCGTGCCTAGCACGCGTTCTTAACCAACTGACCACACGATTATTGTACAACTGGATATACGCATGCTGCTGCAACGCATTTACACCGATAAGCACATAGACATGTTTGCTCTCTTTTTTTTTCTTTTTCGTCGTGCGACATCGTCGTATGCCCGTTATTGAAAATATTTGCGCGACGGTACACTGACGCATTTCATGCGATACGTGTAGGATATATCTTACTTATATAGCGGGTGTGCGCTTAACACGTTTCCTTTACAAAAATACAGTTTATATTTATGCTGTGCACCCTCCATTTCCTTCTCTTTCGCCTCTTCATCCCGGTACACAGTTCGCTCACTTTAGTGGTTCTAGTGATATTATAAGGTATCTTCTCGCGATTGTATCACAAAATCTCCGTCCAGTCCGTCTTCTGTTCGTCACTGTGTATGAATGAGGCAGAATCTTATTGTTGAGTTACGGAAATGTATTTTCTCCAGCTATGAAACGTAATATTCATTTATATGCGAGAAACACGACTGCAAAAATTATTCGATGTATTTTAAAGATGCAATTTTTCATGGATTTCTACTTCTGAAGGTCGCAATTCTAAAAAAGAAAAACATACCAACGCGAATGTAAGATATATATCAACGAAAGAATCGTTTCGACAGAATTAATTTAAAATCCTCGGTTCGCCGAGGATTATCTGTAAATCACAGCTTTTCCATGATTGCCATGTTAACGTATAAGTTGCCGAGCGGAATAGCGATGCAGAACTGGATTATTCGAAGAAACGAGAGAGTGACCGGTCAAGAGCTGCTGCTCTGCCATAGCGTTTTCCCGCTGGGGACATTTTTCTACTCTCAAAGAAGAAGAAATCGCGCAATTAACGAATGAAGGGGTTACACCGTGCAATTTATTGCCGCACTATTCCGTTCGAACGACTCATATCACTGAGTATTGTTAAACGCACACCCAAACAGGATTACGACCACTTGGTGGTTCATGCACGGCTTTTCTAAAGTCGTCGGTGGCGATATAAAATGTTTTTTCGACGCATCATATGCGTCATTTTCGTTTTGTGCACAAATCCCTCAGTGTTTCAATAGTATATCGGCATTTTGATTCATTCTTTGTTTCTTTTTTTTTTCTTTTTGCCTAATAACATCCTAGAAAATGACTTGTTATTTGAACTTGTGTACGCAAACATCCTCGGCGTTCGTCGGTGGCTCCGCTTACGAAATAGTATATTTTACGTATATTTCCAATTGTGTACCTCTCGTTTTTCTCTTCCTTCGAGGTCGAGCGAGCGAGTTTATCGTCAAGTACCCCTACGAAAAATCGTATGGAACGACGTGACGTCGTGTCGGTGGATAAGCTATCGACCGAGAGATCATAAATATCGATGCATTTCTGGTATACTGTGGTGATATAATTATACGAACGTGCGTGTTATTGTCTGATATGAGAAAAGCATTTCTCTCGATTGGCCTTATTGTTAAATCTTTGTTCTTGATCCCCGCTTCTTACCGACCTGGTTTATTCCTGTTGATTGACTATTTTCTTCTCTTTTCTCTCGCCGGTTAACGTGGCTTCAATGTCGCTTATTTTGCTATCCGAATGTTAGACTGAGCCGGTCGAGTCGATGACGCCTTCCATTTGTCCCTGTCGTTCTCGGAATACTTGGACATTTCTCTTTGAATCCACGGTACGTACTTGGGCACATAAGCGTAGACTCCGGGCAGTTTTGGGTGGGCGCATTTGATGCCCCAGCTGACAATCCCGCCGACGAACCATCTTTCCTTATCGTGCTTGTCCCGGCACAACAGCGGCCCCCCGGAGTCACCCTGGAAGAAGAGAAAAGTGGAAAACGTAACGTAGACGAGAGGAATTTTTCTTATGCGTGTCTTCTGTCGTGACGTGAGACTCACCTGGCAGGCGTCCTTTCCTCCGTCTGCGTAACCGGCGCAGATCATCCCGTCGGTGACGTTGAGCTCTTTATGCGCCAACCACACATTGCACACCTGTCGATTTAGAACAGGAACTTGGACCTCATTCACAGCCGGTTCGTACTCGGAAGCTGGAAGGCAGAGAGGTGAAATATAGGTCAGATCGCGAATGATTTAAAAACATGATATTCGTGTATGTCGCAATACGTACAGTCGGTATCGTTCTTCTTGCCCCATCCGATGACGGTACAGAGGGTACCGGGTGCGAGATTGGTGGCAGCAGTCGGTAAGCACACCGGCCTCAAGTGCTCGTGAAACTGAACCCGCTTTTCAAGCTGGATAACGAAGAATTTCGTGAAAAAACAACGTCGCGTCAAATAAGAAATAGAACTCTATAAAATTGTACGGAGAGAGAGAGAGAGAGAGAGAGAGTCTCAACTATACGATTAAAAAGAAAGACATGTTAATATCTGGCTTATATGAAAGTTAAATTGTTGTTGTTAGAGCGCACCAATTTATTCATTTCGCACTTTACTTTTCGCAGCTCCACTTTAAATGAGATCACTTTCACAAACCGACAGGTTTCATCACAAGTAGGACATACAATGACGTCAAAATGATATCACAATGATGAGAAAATTATTATAAAAACTCACTTTTCAATTATTTTGCCATCATACTGACGACATTTTGTGTATCATCGGGCTAGTGTCATTTTTAATTGTGTGAATGTTCGCGCAGTCTTTGCAGTGAATGATGGACTCTACAATGATTAACCAACTATTTTTTTCTAGTTTAGGACAATCGGTAAAGTGCAAAAGTACTATTTTTTGCTTGCACAAAACGCTGAATTCGTCGATGGAAATTTTTATATTCGTGGTTGAATGCGTACGTTTGTCGATATCGTTCTGGGCACTCGTTTTCAGCAAACTATTTTTCATCTAACGTGTGTTCTTCCACGGAGTGTAAAACTACCGTCACTTGTTTGCACAATCATCGGGGCACTCAGGAATTTGTATGAATATGTGCGCGCCGTCGTTTTTCTTGTTTCTTTTTGTATATTAACACATTTTTCTTAATTTTTTTTTATATATTGTTTTTCTTTTTTTTTACCGAGGTTAAACTTGAAAAAATTATTTTTTAAATTTTCACTCGAAACTTCAATCACATATTTTTATAGACATATGGCCTATTTGGGAGTAGATTGCATTTGATGTATCTGCTTCGTTATGATTTCTCTGTAATTTACGTTACTCTAACTGAAGAAATTCTACAATAGAAATGTAAAATACGAGATTAATAAATTGTCACACATCTCTAACGACATCGGTTTGACTTTCATAGTCCTGTTGTAACATTCCATTTAGTTGTAATTTTTCAAGGCATTCTTATATTTTTTCGTACTATATATACTCAATTAAAATATAAATAAATTCCTACTTGGAACAATGCGACGTCGTTGTCATGAGCAACACCCATGTTGTAATTTGGATGAGGGACCACCCGCTTCACTTTCAGTTTCTGACCGAGATAAGTGTGAGAGTGTCTCCTTGTAATGCCCAATTGTATCGTCCAACCCGACACGTCCGAATGACTGAAATTATCGACTTTGAGTGAATCGATTCACGTCATCCTTTGTGTTAGACTTCTAATTTATACTGGAAATCTCTTTTAATATCAGAAAGCAATTAAAATCTCACAAGCGACGTTTCAATCTTATGTTCTCATGATTAATTATCGCATTACAACAACATTCACTTAAGCGTATGCGAATAAGAACACAAGTTTAAAGAACTGATAAGAACATGTAAGAGAACAAAAAGGATTGCCAATTAAGAGATTCCGTCGGCTACATATAGCTCGTATCAGCTGGAAGTCAGCTGTTCTTGACATCTTCCTCTGTCGTTCTCAGCTGATATCGATTTCCCTGAAGGTTTACGGACACGGTCGATCGAATATCATTCCAGCGCGGATGATATCTACGAACAGGATTTCACGCTAATCACTTACTTCCCGACGCAATGGGACGCGGTCAGGACCCACTGATCGGCGATGAGAACTCCGGCACAGTAGAAGATCTGCTCGGGGCCGCCTAGGAGGGCCGCGAGAAACGGCCAATCACCAGGCGCTGACTCCACACCACCCACTATTCGCTTCTGAATCCTCAAGTTTCCGTAAACGGAACGTCTGCGGCCGCAAGCTGCAGTAGAATCGATCGTCACACACACATACACGCAAAGCCGCCCCGAGAACTTTCGACCAAGTTCCAGGGGCTCGGGGAAACTCTCGCGAACGTTCGCCGTACAATAATAATATTCTACCGTATTCGGAGCAGGTAAGCTCAACCGTAGGATAACTCTCGTCTTTCTTGATGCATCCTTGAAACTCCCTCAACAGAGTGGAGCTTCTGCCGTGGTACACGGGTCTCGACTGCTCGATCTGCGTCAAATTGCTGTCTCCGATTAGCAGCTTGGTCCTCACTGCGATCCTGAGGACACGAATATTGTGTTATCGGACAACCAGGTAGGAAAGGAAGGAGATTTTAGCGATGAAAAAGTAATTCAATTTAAAGTGATAAAACATTCAAAGCGATAAAATTAAAGTCGCTAAATTGAAAGCGATAAAGAGATCATCATATGAAATCAATGTTGGATGTTATAGAAATGCGCACGTTCTTCTATTGACAGTGCCACGATCGTGCGAATAAAAATTTATAAAAAATTACACGATGACACACATAAGAGGGAGAGAGAGTATGGAAATCTTGCCATGCAATATTTATGCTTCGTATCGGACGGTACATTAAGGAGAGATCACTTACGTATACCCCAGCATAGTGCAAATTGTTTCCGCCGACGTTTCTTCCCAGTGCGAGATACAAGCCGGCATAAATTTTCCCTCTTCAGCGTGGTAAACCTCCAGCCGGCCCTCGCCAATGTCTCCGTTTTTCTGGCTCAGTTTCACTGGGAAAAGAAGAGTTACATTGAAGCGGAAACTCACCAGTCCGTTTGGAACAACAGCAGGAAAAGTTAAATCGAGGCGGATATTGGCTAGTACCAGTCTATTGGAAAAAAAAAAACAAAAAAGGAAAATTAACCTTTTAGGTACGACACGCCACTATAGTGGCTTTCGCGGATATCATCTTTCAAGACGACACGCCACTATAGTGGATCACTCAAAAAATTTTTTTTTGAAACGATACAGCACTGCAATGTCTGACGGACAGTGCTGTATCGTTTCAAAAAGAAAATTTTTTTTTTAAACTTGCTCTGCCGTCCAGGGAAATAGCCTCGCGCAGAATTCTGCCGTACCTAAAAAGTTAAATTAGGTACTATTTATGGCTGACATCAGTCCACCGGAAAAAAAATAAAAAATTTAATTGAAGCAGGTGCTAACTTTGGCTAATTCATTGTTTTGTCCTTTTTTTTTGAAAAAAAAAAAAACAGAAAGAAAAGTTAAACTGAAGCTTTGTTTAATACAAGTCCACTGGAAAAAGCAGAAGGAAAATTGAAGCAGATACTGGCCAAAGTTGAGAAAAATTGGAAGAAAAGCTAAATTGAAGTAGATATCAGCTCTGGCTTACAGCAATAGCGCTCGTCTTGGCCCCAAGGGCAGTCCATGATTCCGTTACAGATGTGACTGGCCGACATGCACCTCTTCTCGCCGCAGTGATACGACGTCTTGGAGGAGGTGCTCTTCGCTGAGGGTGACTTGATGATCTTGCCGAACGTGTTGGATACCGACACCGACGTCGGGACCGACTGGTCGGAGGAGCCGCACTCGCATTCGGACTCATCGCTGCGATCGGCGCAATCGATGTGACCGTCGCATCGCCAATCGAACGGTATACACCTCGTGCCGTCGCATTGAAAGCCGCTAGTGCATACTGCGTGAACCAGTCAGAACGGAATAAATATATATATCTCAGAAATATCTTTACGTCCTATATTATTTTAAGGGAGGTCCTGTTGGCTCAAGTTTCTCGTGAATGAGTAAGAAGCATTTGTTAATGTCCTTTCTCAGGATATAAAATATTACCAAATAGTTAAAAAAAAAATCTATAATAATGTCGATAATTAATATACAAAATATATACTTATAGAACTAATGAGTGAACACCAATTGATCACCACATCAATATTACAACTTACCATTCAACAATGTAACGGATGTCCCACTTAGAGACACTCGATATTTTTGAACAAAACATAATATAATAATAAAACAAGAATTTTTGAACAAAACATTAATATAATAATTTTCAGTTCGTCGGAAACGCCGACAATCCGGGAATTGAGCAATTGCTCCGTTACATGTTATATTGCACTTACATTGCTAAGAAAATACAACATTGATGTGACGTTACTGTTAGTATTTACTGGATTATTTACCGATTCGGTTAAACGAAAATTGTGAAAGAATAGTATACCTGTGTTCTAAAAGAAATATCTTTTTTCTCTCTCACAAAATGAAAAACAAAGGGAACGCATGTAACTCTCTTAGACCACATATCATCGGTCTCTCGTATCTACTATGTTCCACTATTACACGAGCCGATATATCGAGGAATATAATTTTAGAATCGCGATCAGGGTCTCGCGGGAGAAATATATCATGAGCATCGTGCAGACACGAATATTATCGGTGACGTTATATCCTCCGCGATATGTCTTCTCACACGACGGATCGACTCTGCGGTCGTAGCTCGGTTTAATATTTTCACACATACGCGCCGTGATATGTGTACACATGCGGCGAAGCGCGACTCAATAAAGCTGCTTGGCACCGTAAACGGGTCGTCATGCGATAGTTTAATATGGATTTTGCAATTAAGATTCCATCAGAGCGATGACACATGCGATAGCTATACAAAATCGTGCGATATCGCCCGGCACCGCGCCATCTCCTCGCACGCGTGCGTGTCGTCGAACTTCTTCTTTCGCAATTACGACATGCCTCACGAGAGAGAGAGAGAGAGAGAGAGAGAGCGCCGACCTAATTTATCAGACTTCGATCCCGGAATCTCGAGCGCGATTACAACGCGCTGTTTGCCCTTAATTAACCACGAACAAATCTCACCTTATCGAGAACCGACCGAATTCAATTCACCGCGATGAGAGACGCGGGCGATCAATTCCCTGTCGCCGCGATTTACGTAATATTTGCTTTGGAAATTGCACGATCATTTAATTCTCCTTTCTCTCTTCCTCTCTATCTGTCTCTATCTTTCTTTTTCATCACAGACCGGCCCGCGAGCTTTTAAACGCCGTTATCGTTACGACACATGACTATCTTTCGATGAGTAGAGCTTTAAAAAGATTCAGCGATTGTTCTTTATCAATTCCCGGACTGTCATATGTTCGACGTTTCTAACGAACTGAAAATTATTATATTAAAATGTTTTGTTCAAAAATACAGAGCATCTATCGCTAAGTCGGACATTTGTCGTACATTTGCAGTTTAGGTCAGTGTAAACAAAGAAGCCCTCTACCATTTTGCAAACAACCGCGCCAAATTTTTATTAATTATTGAAAATGTATAGATGCTTCTTTAATTAATAGCTTAAAACAGAACTTTTTCGTTTACATTGACCTAAACTACAAATATATGACGGATGTCCCACTTAGTGATAGACATCCTGTATACACTGATAGAAAATTAGAATAATTTAGTTTCGGCACTGAACATATCTTTTAACCATAAAAATAGTCAGGAGAATCATCTTTCTAGTAAGTGTCAGTATAATGTACTATAATGTCAATGATGATAATCTTACGTGCATGTTGCTATTGCTATAAAATTTGATGAAATTAGCTATAATTTTCTATCAATTATTTGAATTAACTTGTATGTTCTAATTTATCTTTCGCTCCCCCCCCCCTCTCTTTGGCGTAACGATCTGTGGATAATAAGCGGATTAGTCTGGCCGATCGATCGATTTAGAGTTTCGCGAGAGGATGCGGAACGACAATGGGAAACCGAACACAAGAGGAAGGCAAATACGGTGCATAAATGAGAATCCGAGATATCAAAGGAAGGATGAACAATGGATATCGGCTTAGTCGACAATTAGTTCCGTTTTGCGGATGAGCCCTATATTTAACGTCGTCGGCGTGAATCCGTGGCAGACAAAAGAGAGAGACCATATAAATAATATTATCCTCCATTGTTTGCAGCGCAAAGACATCGGTGCCAAATATTTTGTGCAAATTGCGTCGACGCATCCCGAATGAGATTTTTTCGCAAGGCGATCATTTTAAACAATAAGCGTGTACTCGTTATCATTCGCGATTTAGAAGATAATGGATGTTTATTCGGAAAATAAACAATATCCAAAAGCGATTTTTCATTTGCTCAATAACATTCTGTTAGCGGATGATAACGAGGAACAATACACGATCGCGTTTCTCTCGATCATAGAACCGCTCGAATTCTATTTTCGAATTCTTCATTATTGAAAGCGCTAAAGAAAATAAAGAGAGAGAGAGAGAGTCATGACTCGTCTTTATACTTCATCGAATATATTCTCGGGATCGCTCAACTGCACCAACGAGATTATTTTAATCCTTCAGTTATCAATTTCTTCCATCAAGCGCCTTATTAGAAGAGCTCGCCAAAGTGATAACGTTCCTCGAAGAAGAAGAATGATCGAGCGACTTCAACGACAAAATAAAACTGAAAGAGGATCGTCGATCGAGGAGTCCGTTTTCTTTTCGCTTATGTTAGACATCGTCAGATCCCGCTGGGCGAGCCAACTTTTTAATTGAGATTTAATGAAACATTGAAATGGACAGAGAGAAGGTGGGGAGAAAGGAGTGCGAAACGTGTAAATGGAGCGAAAACTTTCGGTATCACTTACCGGGATTCTCAGCCCTTTTCGCCGCCTCGATCACCTCGCGATGTCCGATACACTCGTCGGGATTCGAATTTTCCGGGAAAAGCTCGCACTCGAGGTAATCCGGCAGAGACAGGCCGAAAACTTCGAGGAAGAAACCGCAGCGTCTCTTGGTTTCTGAAATTAAGATCGAGAGAGGACTCGCCTGCGGGACCGGAATATCAAGCAGCGGAGGCGCGAAATATGGCGACTCAGCGCGCGCTACAGAGATTTTACCATACATTTACATAGCGGGACCGAGCGTTATTAAAATTCACCGATATTAACCCGCGGGTTACCGTAAATGTATGTAGCCGCTTTTCCAATCTCTTCGATGCGCGCAGGATTCGCGGTCGAATTAACGGACGTCTGTCGTTAAACGTCGTTGAGCGAGAGAGAGAGAAACCGACGAAATTGTCTGGATAAAGCAGACTCACGGGAGCAGAGACTGCGACATGGGCGCACGACGTGACCCTGGGATCCGCATTTCGGCACGAAAACGCTGCACAGGAACAGAGCAGCCAGTTCGTAACATCTGACGTCGACGACAGCGTCGTAAAGCTCCAGCTCGTGCTGGGCGTCCCGCTGTCCGAAATTGCCCATGTAATTTGGAAACACGGTATAGTTGTACGGAATCTGCAATTGAAATGCGATTTTGCCGAATATGAGACACCGGCTGAGAAAGAGAGAAATTTTGCTTAATCAAACGAGCTTTTTTCAAGCACAAGTATTTAGTCCATTGAACAAATTATGCCGTAATGAGTTATCGGCTGGCGTTCAAGCATTGCAATTTGTCCAGCAACAATATCAAGGCAACGTATTGTTGCGCATAATTTGTTCATTTGGGCTCGATACTTTTTTGATCCAATTGCTTTTTTTTCCCGTTTTCCTCGAGACCCAACCTGTGATAAGTAAGCTGCGACTCAATTTCCAACGAAAGATATTTCTCGCGCCCACTATACGGAGGAAAATAGTTTGAGATCACGTTTTGATGGGAGGAAACACAATTTCTCGTTATTATGAATCGCATTTGATTCCCACAAGCAGAAATCCTGTTTCTTTCAACGCATTTGACGTGATCAACCAAACGTTTTTTTCCGTGCGGACGTCGCGTGGTTTAAATTTTACTTCCGGGAAACACCAGTCATAATTTAGGACTCAGAATAAAAGACCCACTATAGCTATTGTGTATCAGACTTAATGCTAAGTAACGAAACTGCGCGCGACTCGACGCATGTAACTAGCGCGAAATTTTTCTGTTAAACCTTTCATTCTACAACACAGTAAATCGTAAAATAGGCGTTTAATTTTAATTCTGATAACATAACTTACTCCTGCTTTAATCCTGATAATACTTTAAATTTAATGCCGTTTTCGCTGTTTTAACGTCAAAATGAATCGTTCGAAGTAATATTAAAATTAAATCTATATACAGAGGAAAATGTTCCTTTGGATATACATGTTTGTTGGGTTTGTTTAATATAAACAACACACAATTTAACATCAAATATCATTTTGTTTGAGTGAAAAAGTTGTTTCATTGAAATAAACCATGTTGTTTGATGGGGAAAAACAGTATTATTTGGAGGAAATAATTGATTTTCAAATAAAAAAATTATTTCATTATATATAGTTTCACTGAAACGAAAAAGAAGTTCCTTAATATTTTTGTAACATATTTTTCTTTTAAATAATTTATTACTTATGACAACCATTATAATGTTTGTGAATGAAAATACAAAAGAAATATGTTATTTAACATAAAGATACTTATTATTGGAGAAATTAAGCAATCCTATTTGTTAAATCAAGTACTCGTTCGTTTACTTTATTTCACAAGATACATTCAATTAAAGATATATTATTAAATTCAAGAGCATCTCTTCCTCCGTGTAGAATTAAAGAGAGAATTTAATAAGTGTCGTCAAAGTATAGTTTTCATCAGGCCATCTAAGTAGGCGCAAACTATCCTTAAGAACGTCAAAGTAATATCAACACTTCCACTGGGAAACAATCGTTATTACCGTGACGTCGTTCCCGCTATTAAATCCGGCCGACGGTGGTAGTACAGCACCTTCGCGATTTTCGTCGCTGCCGAGACCCTCGAGATGCTCAGACACGTTCGTTTTCGAGACGAGCGCCTTATGAATTTTAAAGTGAACGCCGACGGGGAAAAGCGAAATGTATTCTCGGGGCACGTTACGACCGTCTGTTTCCAGTGCCCGACGACGTTTCCCTGCCCGCGGGAAAGAGCCGGGGAGGAAGTAACTCTTACTCGACGCTACATACCGGAACGAATTTCCCGAATGTCACCCACGCACATTCCGCACGCGGAGAGCTTATTTTGAATTCTTTCTAGGTGGATGAACCATCCTGCGGAAAGGGGTAAATATCGCCAACACTTTATCGTTCCGCGCGAACTGTTAAAAAGAGTCTCAAGAGAGACTCGCGCTCTATGGATTTCAGGAAGAAAGAGAGTCGACGCACTCTTTTCTATAATATTGCAATATCCGGTGCTATATTGCCGGCTCGACGTTTATTTATGCTTTCAAAGTTCACAGTGAATGCGCATCTATAGAAAAAAATAGTCTTAAATAGATGTTCTCATATATAAATAATAAGAATATAATATTATAATAAAGAGTATCATAATATTCTTAAAAGATTTCTAGTCTTAAATTGAATGCAAATAATAATTGCATCAATACATGTTCAATCAAATCAAAGTTAAAAATCTTCCAAGAAGATTATAATGCTCTTCTTTATATATGAGAATATCTATCAATTATTTAAGGGTATTTAAATTTTTTTCCGCACCGAAATCGGCATTAATTGCTTGCGTTGTTAGTCGCAAATTAATCTTATTGTTTTATGATAACTCAAAAAGTATTCTGCGAGATTGTGTAAAGTAGATGTAAGTGTCGAGTAGCAATGTTGTTCTTTATAACTTAGCAATTTTCGTTCTTTCCGAATATGGGCTTGAATAAATACGTTCTACACTGTAAACAAATTTGGTCGAATATAAACCTTTGACAATAGGCAAGCCAAACATACGATTTGTTTATTATCAAAAAGTTTGTTCGAAGGAAACAGAATTTCTGGTTATAAGAACCGAATTCAATTCATAAGAACCAGAAATTCTGTTTCTTTCGACTGAAACGCGTTTGGTTTATTCATTGTCAGGTAAATTCGACCACATTTTTCTTTCTATTGTGTATTGTCAGTCACAAAAACCTTTCTTTCGATGAGTTTCATAACGTATCTCGTATCTAATAGAAAAAATGTATCTTCTAAGAATTATTAAAAAAATAAATTTTCCTATTGAACACGGGATATATTTGGAAATTTATCAAAAAAATATATTGTAACCTTTTTGTGATTGAATGTACGAGTTCGCCAAATAAACGCCATCGCAAGAGATTAACATTCACGGCGTGGTTGCTGCAACCCTCGCGGTTTTCTCTAATTTATACATTTTCGTCGTTAGTGATTTTAATCCGTCATCAAAATAAATCTGTGAATTGTTACCTTGTGGTGTTGACAGAAGGTGACGATGATGGGTAAGCACACTCCGGGGGCCGGATTCTTGTCCACCGTCACCATTTGCACGCGTTCGGACATCGGTATGAGGCTCCAGTAAGCGGTTCTGTTCTCCAGCTTCATGTCGGGATACGCTGTGATGACAGAAATAACTCGTAAAACCGACCGAGACGGTCTGAATGATCGCTCTTCACGGCGAGTTCGTGACGACGAGAGAATACCGACGCGTCCGCGCTGAAAACAGTCACATTCGAGGGGATGGAGATGCGTCCCAAACTTTCGTAATTATTAGCGTGTCAATCGCAGACACGCGACGCGACGCTGCACCGTTCTCAATTATTATCGCCTCCCTTCCCCCCCCCCCCCCCCC